TAGGGTTTAGGGGACCTTATTTTGGGGTCCTTACAATAAGGATCCTACGATTTAGGATACTATCCCTGTTTTCGGAAAGCCCCGCCATATCGGAGTTGTCGGCGTTCTGGCTGAGGCCAGAGGATTTGTGGATTTCTAGTTATTCATAGGCTGGAAAGGCTGCAATGTTTAGGTTCGGGGGCTATACTTCGAGGATCAGGGGACTCTGCAAGTAGGCTTAGAAGCACTGCAACCCCAACCACAGAGCTGTGAGGCTACATAACAGCTGTTTACCAAGTCCGCTCAGCCGGTACGGTAATGCCGCCCCAAGAAGTGCACAGCGCCTGTGTTTCTCATCCTTGAGGCACAAAGACAGGTTCCAAAACTTTGAGTTTACCCACCTAGAGATCCTCCATCTACTCTCAATGCCCTTATAATTTGGGACCACATACCTATATTTGAGGGTATACACGGAGGGTCAGGGTAGATTCGGCGGCATCCAGCAGTGGAACTCCAGAGCTTTGTCCGCACCGAGGAGTGAGTCCTAGCCCTTCCGTACCTAGACCCTCCATCTACCCACTCTCAGGCCCTAACTACCTCATCTGGGGCCATTATCCCTATGTGAAGGTACAAGGAGGCTCCTCGTGATTCAGACTAAACTGAGGTTGAGGGATAAGGATGCTTTAGGGTCTGTGGGCTCAGGGTCCGACACCCTTAACCCTCTCCCGACAGTTTCCAACTGCTCTTGTAATTTAGTGCGAGGTACATACTGCGTTTAGGTACGTGCCCAAGACAGCAGATACTGGCATGAAGCTCACGTCAGCATTCGCCCTAGGATCTACATCCCAAAATCCCCACCCACGGAGCAAAAAACGACAGCCTAAACCCTTCAAAGAGCAGTCTAAGCCCGAACGCCATGTCACAGTGTTTCCGCTTTCTGCCGTGTTGCACAAGTCCTTCCGGTCTTCGTCGGTTGCGCTGTCACCAAGCGCAGCTCCAGCAAACGCCAGAAGCCGCGCGCAGTGGACGTGGCCGGCGCGAATGGCATCCTTTTTTGGTTCTAGGGTGTGTAGGCTATAATTAAGTGTTCAGAGTCGGTGGCAATGACAACTGTATAGGAATGATAGGAATGAGGTAATCAGCAGCAGGAACATTGAGAGTAATGTTCTGGAGGCAGATATGAGGGGAAGTGGACCACTGCTTCATTTTATGTCCCCTCATCTTCAAGAGGACTGCAGTGACCCGGAAAGGAATTGCGACTCGCCTGCGGGACCCTCTGAGCCCCAAAACTGGGGTTTCGGAGGTCCCAGGTGTCAGGTTAAAAGAATGCCCTAAACTCCACGGCTAGTTCGATGCTCTGACATTCATGGCGTAAGGAATGGACCTTATCCCTCAGAGGAGTTCACAAATATACAGGGTAAGCCATCTTACTTAAATTAGGTTTGGGCTTGCTGACCACTTTGACCTGTGCATGTTGGACTGGGGGTGTAAGTCTTGTCAGCTGGATAAGGAATCCTCTGGGCTTTAGGTCAGGCTTTTAGGCTTTGGGGTTAGGGTTTGCCGTAGAGGCGCAGGCGGAAATATCTTTCGACAGACGAAATTCGAGTACGTCGTTGTATGACGACTGGCCGGCCTAAGGTTTGAGTTTAGGGTTTAGGATTGTTTAGGGGTTTAGGGCTTAGGGTTTGGGGTAGGGTCAGGTTTAGGATGGCAGTAGAACTCACCAGCTTGATGAGACCGAATGGATACTCAGTGGCTGTCACACGAATGGCATAGGGTGTTCGGGTCTTCTATGATATTCTAAACTATATAACGACAGAGAAGGCATCCAAAGCAATAATAGTCCAATCATCAAGACCCCGATGTCCCTAAACCGTAAACGCCTAAACCCTAAACCCCTAANNCCTAAACCCCAAAACCCTAAATCCGAGCCTGCAAAGGCGTAGAAAGCCATCGGTCTTGCGGGGAGCTATTTGCGCGCGCGGTTCCTCGGATCAGTGTTTTTATTTTATATGGGGGGGTTTAGGGTTTAGGGTTTAGGGTTTAGGGGTGGGGGACAGGCTTTGTATGATAAGGAACCCAACCGAATGCAGTTCTAGTCGAGTTACAAGATGAAGGAAATTGCAGAGTTTGATATGTTCGGGCAGAAATGGGGATTTCCGAAAATAGGGGACCCTGATATAGTACCCTAAATAGTAGGATCCTTATTATAAGGACCCCAAAACAAGGTACCCCCTTGTTTTCAGAAACTCCCAGCACTATGTGTCCTTAATCCGGTTTCCAACTTTTTGGGGTTCACTATAAGTGAAGGCATCCTGCACTGGCACGTCCCAGGCTCCTATGTTGAACTATCGGGGCCCGGGTGGACCTTCCTGTGTAGCAAAAAATACCTACAAATTCAAGGGCCCTGATCGAAACGCCAAGCCCGAAGGGTGATAGATCCGTAATTAGTAAACCCTTTTCCATGAAGAGGGATCGTAGAAGTGTCCTGATATTCGGGCCCCCAAAACACAAGGGGTTTAGTGCTCAACGGTCGACAAATATCCCTGATCTACTGGACATGCAGGGAAACCCTAACTTCAAGCTGAGCAGCCGAGAAGGAAACTCACGGCCAGCAACTGGCCCTCCGTGGCCGCCAAGTGCAGGGCAGTACGGCTGTCGTAATCTGCCAAGTTCACCTTTTTAGGATTTGAGGAGGTCAGAGTTTAGGTTCAGGGTTCGGGGGTCATGAAACAGATGCTTCGGATTTCGCATGCTGATAGAGTTTAAGTTGGGCTTACAGGGGTGCCAAGATGGAGTGTGTGCGAAGCTGGAGCGTGAAGCTCCGGGTGCCAACCAGTCTTGGTTGTATGAGGGGCAGGGCAAGGGTCACCCTAAACCCTAAACCCTAGACCCTAGACCCTAAACCCTAAACCCTAAACCCTAAACCAGCACTGCGGTGGCACAGACCCCAAAGACTGCAAGTTGGTAGAAAGGCTTCTGCCAAAACAAACTAAGCCCCGAAAGCCCCAAACCAGTCATGTAGGGGCCTTAAGACTTAGAATAGGGTGTTGGGTTCCTTTATGGTAGTATTATAATAAGGAACCCTAACAGTATTATTGGTAATTATTTAGGCGGTCTAAGGACGTGGACGTTCGCACGGAACGGGACATCCCTTCGAATGTGGATCTCTCTGATTTGCCAGAAGGGGCACAAAAAAGACAACTTGTGACCGCGGACGCGGTAATTAAACCTTCAACCCCCAACAACTTCAACTCTTCGAGCCTGCAACCCCCCAGCCCTAAAGCCTAAATGCCCTAAACCCTGCACACTAACCCCGAAAGTGGCAGCCCAGTGGCATCCACTGAGTTCTCCGCCAGCTGCTGCAACTTCACCTTAGAAAACGCTGGCGACACTAAAACACCGCAGTAAACTGTCTCCATGATTACACACACGTGCTTCTTATGGGTTAGGGTTTAGGGTTACGAGTATAGGATAGGAGAACAGACCCCCAAGTTCACGTTCTTATGCTGTGCAGGTAAGAGACGATGTTCCCCGCTGAAGCGGCATCACAAAGCCAGCCCGCAGCCAGCTCCTGCAGCAACAAAACCACTAACCCTGGATCCCAATCCTTCAACCCTACTTGAAGGTTTATGGGTAGTTATATAAGTAGGGTTATAAGTCGGGTAACTGTAGTTATAACATGTTAAAAAACTATATTGCGGACTTGTAGCTTTAATTATAACACCGACGAAGAGACCCCAAGTCCCAAACCCTTCGAGCTTAGGGGTCCTGGTTTTTGCCTCCCACCTAGCTCGCACACAGCCCGCATTGCAGGGTTTTTTTAGGGTTTAGGGTCTGGGGTTTGGGGTTTTGGAAGGGTCTAGGCTGTAGGGTTCAGCCCAACCTAAACCGAGAACTCGAGTTCTTGGTTGCGAGCCCACTAAATGTCGGGGAAGCCTTGTCAGCCCACATAGACGCGATAAATTACCGCATGATTGAAACCCCAATATGCGGGCCCAATAACAAATCGAAAAAACAAACACGGCTTGTGGCAAATTACCACTAATTATGTATTGCTATGCTAGAGAAGCCTGAGGAATAGTATTACTAACTGCAAGGCTTTGAAAAATAAACCCTACAACACTATGAAATCGTTAAAACTTTTTTGGGGCATAGCACAAACGGATTATATAGGAGCGGTAAGGAGTACCACGATTCATTAATCATGTCGACCTCAAAGATTCCACTAGGAACTCAATCCATAATGCGGCCTCCGGGACAAATTCTCGACCCAAAGCTTGAACTGCTGAGCGAACGGATGTGGCTTATAATGGGTTTACCTGTGACCCCAACCCCTACAAAATAGTAGGTTATGACCCCTTAATTTGTGGGTAGAACCCTTAAAACGGTAGATTTTTGGATCCCCAGGTAGGGAACCCTAAACCTTAAACCCTAAACCCTAAACCCTATTGGGCTCCTAAGTAATGGGTTTCGGGCCAGAGTAGTTGGTCCACGAATCAGGTCCTGGCGCAGTTGCCCTCGCTTCGAGAAGATCAGCTGTGCTACCACCGTGTGGTTGTTCCTGGGTTTAGGGTTTAGGGTTTAGGGTGGTTGTTCCTGGGCTCACTCAATCACGGCTGAGCTGCATACTTCTAGCCTTATGGGTTTAGGGTTTAGGGTTTAGGGTTACTTCTAGCACTGCGGAGTACAACTATCACGAATACGTTAGCGCCGATGACCGCCATGCTCATGATCACCATGGCTGTCATCAGTGCTTTCCTTTCCTCACGCTTCAGAAACCTAGAGGCACCTTGTCGAGGGTCAGAGTAAGAGGGATGCTATCGGAGACTGCACGTGTTGGCTTTGGGCTTTCAGGTTTTGTGGCAGAGCCTGTGACTGAGCCAGGGTCATACATGGCCTTATATAATAGTTGCAAAAAAGCTTTGGGGTTGTGTTTCCATTTGTTAGAATGTAAGCACATAGGGACGACAAGGGGATACAATTTCTAGTCACTCCGACCCTCAAAGTAACCTACCCTCGAAATTCTGCGATAGAGGGTTCACTATATTATATGAACCCACCAAAACGTAGGGGTTACGGTAGTTTAAGGAGAGCCTTACTTATGTCTACCCCAAGTCTCGCCAGCAACCGCCTGATCCAACTACATTCAACAAGCCTGCCTTACGGGGATCAGCGGGACTTAGCCGGAAGCTTCCAAGCCAGGTAGGGTTTAGGGTATTTAGTGTTTAGTTCTACGCAGGAGTACGCTCAAGTTTTGAAACCAAGATCCACCAAAGGTACTATGATTTCGGGCTTCAGGGTCAGGTTTACGGTCTGCAACCTACAGGCTGACCCTAGACCTTCACAACCCTAAATTCCTACCAGAGCCCAATGAATACCCTCTCTATCTAGGGTTGCTGTCTATGACTTTATATAGGCCGTTACAAACTAGGTTCCCCAGTAGCCCCTAAATAATAAGGGTACCCTTTTTCCTACTATTTGGTTTTATTAAGGGAACCCAAAAAGAAAAAGGGCAAAAGGGTAGCACTGGGGGAACCTAGCAAAGGTAGGGTTTTCAAGTCTCCCGGTAGACCCGGAATCCTGGAGCCCCGCAGGGAGCCCTGATGCCAAAATGCGGCCAAAGCGTCTGAATTGCATCCTCTAGGGCGGTCCCACCCCACCTGCCGGTGAAGGCAACTCCTACTCATACTCTAAATATACTGCAGCAGTTGGACCATAAGCTACCAGAAGATACCAGGGCATGGTATACAACTACAACACACCATGACATGTGCATCCTAGCAAAAAGGTTTCTGTAACCAAGGTCACTGTATCGATCTATAAGGGGTCAAAAGCAGACTTAGGAAAAGCCCTGGTGAACAAAATGACCAATTCATAGGGTAGGGCTTACCCGTACCCTGAATAAACCTACCATAAGGAAATCATGCTAACCCTAAACCCTAAACCCTAACGAACCCCAAAAAGATAGCGTCTTCAGGGTCCAGGTAGGGAAGTTCAGGCATGCCGGTACCGAGGCAGGTCCACAGTCTCGGGTGAAGCGCCTGGGGGTTTGAGGGTATTGGGTTTAGGGTTTAGGAGTTTAGGGTTTAGGGCTTGGGGTTTGGGGTTTGGGCCCTGTCAGGACGTAGGCTTTTGGCAGGGTTTAAGTAACGAACTACGGTACAAGATCTAGAGATAAAGCGGCTGCGACGCACAACTGCCGAGTTTGGGGTGCTGCTACACGCTGAAGCGATCTCAAGGGCACCATGCCATTAACAGCAACCTGCACAAACTAGCAGAACAAGTTCTGTACTCAAAGGAGCCACGTGGCCAATGTCGTATCACTTGCTTGCTCTCTTCGGGATTTCATGCACCATCAAATTAGCATCGCCAATCCTAGGCCCAAGACGTAAGCCCCTGCATGCTTGAAGACCACCTTGTAGCCGAAGCCTACAAAAACTAGTAGGTCATGACCCCCATGTGCCGCTTATGACACTCAAAACCGTCGATTATGACCCTACATATCTTAAATAATGCCTTAAAATATAGGACATTCCAGCCCCTTCCAACCGAAGACCATCGCGCCTGTCTTTGAAGTTGGGGTTGGCCTTGGACTCCAGAAGGAAACTGATGACCTGGCTCGGTGTAGGGTTTTTTAGGGTTTGGGGTTAGGGTCGGCGCTTAAGTCCTAGAAGAGACGGAGATGAAATGCAAAGAAAGACGAAAGCTCATGCTTCTTGCGGTGCTGTAGAAATTCCTTACCAGCTGCTGGTTCCGAGAATTGTTAGTGCAGGTGCTGTGATTACGAGTGTAGACTTCTTCTGGCCTTAAAACTTACATATTACAATTTGTGCTGCTGCAGCTGCCAGCATGCTTGCTTCGACTACCACTACGACGAAGACAACGACCACAACAACCACAACTACTACTTACTACTACCCTAAGCCCTAAACCCTAGACCCAACCCTTTTTCAGCACGGACTGAGGTGCCGGCCAGCGCCTACCCNNACAACGGACGGAAGCTTAGACTGAAGATCCCCTGAAGGTAAACTACTGCACCATCTGCTCAAGAATAGAATGTTGACCCTCAACCCTAAACCCCACAGCCCTCACAAAAAACCCTAAAACCTAAAGCCCTAACCTAAACCCTCAAACCTAAAGCCCTAAACTAAAACCCTCAAACCTAAAGCCCTAAACTAAAACCCTCAAACCTAAAGTCCTAAACTAAACCCTAAAACCTAAAGCCCTAAACTAAACCCTAAACCCTAAAGCCCTAAAACCGCTGCTCCTCATCACGGGCCTCCAGCTTCCCCTCCGAGGCCGCAAGATGCAGCGGAGTGCGGAGGTCGTAGTCACCGGAGTCTGGGTTAATCTTCACCTGGCCCAGACCGTGAGTTTGGGATTTTATCCGGGGGTATAG